TCGGCAATCTCTTTCTCGCTGAACTCTTCGAAGCTGAGGTGCGTGGGCTTCTGCAACCTGTGGAAAGATATGAGGGACAGTCAATGTTATGGATGGAGAACCTGGGTTAAAACCCAGTGTTCCATGGAAACTGGGAAAACACAGATGCAAACAAGGAAACATTAAAATATGCATTGAAAAGTCCTGTCGTGCCCTTGTTGGAGTCTGACTCTGAGGGGGAGATTGAGGAACTGACAGGGAGTGGGAGTGTTGCTTCGGTGTCTGTGGAAGAAACGGGGGAAGAGCACAGTCCGGCTGGGCATTCAGAGGAAGACCCAGGGCCACCCCGCTTCATCCTAGGGCAAGGAGAAGGGAGCAACGTGGCTTATGGGAGAGGAAAAGGCCCTGATCCCTTTCATTAGTTGCAGCTGGAAGAACAGGATATAAGTGGGGCATTTTAAATAGCTCTTTGCTGGAAGCAAAGCGTGTTTTATCTTGGTTGAGGCTTATATGGGTTTTGGTGTCTTCCCAACTGTGGTTGCTGCGTCATCTTGTGGAAGTCTGCAATTTATCATCCTGGCCTGCTATGTTAATAACTCCAGTGTGGTTTGTGTTTATTTTTTTATGTCTAATTATTTTTACTTTTGGCTCAGACTGCATTTACTCTCTTCATAGATTGTTTTTGGAAGAGTTTGATATCAAGTCGAGGATAATTGGACATTGAGGCCCAAGTTGGAGGCATTAAAGGGAATTTATCCTACTTTTGTGACTGTGTTATTTTTGTGTCACACCCCGGGTCATCATAAGTCCTTTGGAAAATACAGTAGGCTCTCTAAAACAGGAACTATGGATGATTTGGTCTTGTTTAACAGATGGGTAGTCCTCGATTTACAAGTTTCTTTAGTGACCATTCAAGGTTACAACGGCCCTGAAAAAAAGTGACATGATCATTTTTCACACAACCATTGCAGCATCCCCGTGGCCAGGCGATCAGAATTCAGATGTTTGACCACTGACTCATATTTATGACCGTTGCATGATCGCCTTTTGTGACTTTCTGACAAGCAAAGACAATGGGGAAGCAAGATGCACTTAACAGCTGTCAACTGCAGTGATTCACTTAGCAACTGTGGCAAGAAAGGTCACAAAAATGAGGGTAAAACTCATGTAACAATTGTCTGTCTTAGTGACAGGACTCTGGGGCTGAATTGTAAGTCGAGGGCTACCTCTACTCAAGAAAAATACATCTAATTCAGAATGATTAACTGTGATATCTAAACAGAAACATCCATGTTGTCCACAATCAGTTTCCAAAATTTGCCCCATGGGGCAGGATCAGTGGGAGGATTCAGCCAATTTGCACCAGTTTGGGAGAACCGGTTGTTAAAACTTTCTGAGCCATTTGGTGAACTGGTTGTTGGAAGAAATCATTAGGCCAGAGAACCGGTGGTTAAATTATTTGAATCTCACCACTGGGCAGGATTCTTAATTTATATAAGTCAATAACAGCAATAGCACTTAGACTTATATACAGTTTTATAGTCCTTTTACAGCTCTCTCTAAGTGGTTTATAGAGTCAGCCTCTTGTCCCCAGCAATCGGGCTCCTCATTTGACCCACCTCAGAAGGATGGAAGCCTGAGTCAAACCTTGAGCCTGGTGGGATTTGAACTGCCAAACTGCAGAAGCAGCCTGCAGTACTGCACTCTAACCTCTATGCCATAGAGGCTCCTATTAAGCTAATAGAACTGAATCGCTACAGCTCAGGATTAAACAATGGAATCTTTGTGTGTTCTCAGAGTTGGTTATTTGCTTGCAGACATTTCATTATGTTAGGTAACCTCCTCACATGACATCACAACACTGCAGATCAATCATGTTTACACAGCCACATGAAAGAAACAAAAAGTCCAGAACACATCCTCCTTCTCCAGCAGTAACACCCAGATAAGCAGGGACTAATTCCAGACAAACAATTAAGCAGAAACCAATAGCTCAATGAAGGAACTACCGAGGAGAAAAACCACACCCATCAACCCTGGCAGAACAAGTTATAGGTAGTTCTTGACTTATGACAATAATGGAGCCTGCCCATTACAGTTGTAAGTTTCAATCATCTTAAAGGAAGTCATCACATGACCGAACTGATTTTATAACCATTTTTGCAGAGGTCATTACGGGAAGCCATTGTTTACGACCAAACCACAAGCGAACGCCAATTTGGGGCCCAAAACGTAAATCTCAGTCATGTGACCACTGCAAATAGCCATGAATGCAGACTGGTTGCTGAGTGGCTGAAACGCAGTCACATTCACTGTCAGGACTTCAGAACCAGGTCATAAGTCCCTATTGGGGAGAATCCATTGTAACTTGGAGTGGTCACTAAGCAACCATCGTAAGTCAAAGACTATCTGTACCGTATACAAACAGGGAGCAAACTCCACACTTATTCACACTGTTGACATTAGTTGCATAATGAAATATTTGCAAACAAACAAGCAAGTTCAGAGCACCAAGGACACCACACAGCAAGCTAACACAAAAACAAACAACTACCCTGACAATTAAGTAATCTTTATGACCGTTGCAGAGTCCCGAGGGGGTCATGTGATCTGCCTTTGCAACTGTCAACTCATAAGACATTCCTATACCTGTTTTAGTAGTTGCCATAAAAGGGGGGGGGGTGAGGAAGGAAATCTGGAAGAGCAGTGCAGCAGTTTGAAAGTGAAAGTACATTCCAACTCTTATCTTTAAAAGATTGTAACTAAACTATCAGAGCTTTTGCCCGCGAATATATTTAATTGGAGAACGTGATTGATGACACCCAGCCCGTGAATGTACTCAATTGGAGAATATGGTTTATGAGACACCCAGGGGGGATGGAAAGAGGGTCGCAGGTGACTAAATTATGTATGCCAAAGTTGGCTTCATACAGGGCAATGCCAGTATGTTGCCTCTAATAAATCCTTTGAAGTTTTTTGAAGTTTGGCTCGAGAATCATGATTTAATTAGGGCGATTGTTGGAATCCTAACAGCGACCTTCTGATAAGCAAAGTCAATGGGAAAGCCAGATTCCCTTAACCACCAAGTTAGTCACCTATCAACTGCAGTGATTCAATTGAGGCAAAGAAAGGTCGTAAAAAGGAGCAAAACCTCACTTAACGAACGTCTCACGTAATGTCAGGCTCAATTGTGGTCGTAAGCCGAGGATTACCTGTGTTCGCCTTCATTCGTGAGCAACTCCACTTTTTTTGCTGGCCAGCTGTCATACCAACCTTTCATACTGGTGCAGGTCCTTTAGCAAATCTTCCCGCAGCTGGGGGCAATCAAGGGCGCCAGGCTCAAAAGCAGAGATCAGGTATACAAAGGGATCCACGAGAGGGAGGGTCCCGAGAGATTCGGTACACGCCTCCCGGAGGGCCCGGAGGACTTCCGACCGATCGTAACGCTGCCCCATCAACCGCTTGAGAGTGTGAAGGTCCAAATCAGCCTTGGTCCGGGCAAAATAGACCTTTTTGCCAGCTTGCCGGGCCTCCAACACAAGGCGGCCATGAGAATCCTCAAACCTGTTGTCGGTCACCAACACAATCAGTTCGGCCTCCCTCATCCATTGATCCGCGTGGCCCTTGCCCTCCATCGACCGCTCCCACAGCAGTAAATTATTGTACGTTGGGTCAGGGTACATGATGGGCTTTTCCGATTTCACTGCAGTCCCCACGGGGGCTGATCCGGCATCATCTTCGGTCATCTCTCGTACGGCGTTAAGAAGAGCCGATTTCCCGACGTTGGATTTCCCCACGAAGATGATAGAAACGTCCCCACAATCGGGGGAACCCAGAGCAGAACCTGGAGGGGTCTTCACGGACATGTTTGGTGTTGACAAAGAGAGTAACTTTTCTTCTCAGCAGGTGGTAAACCTTTAAAGAAAGAAAGACAAAGGTCAAAGAAGGAGAAATGTCTCTTTTTAGGCTAAAATCGAAACCTAAGCTTGGCTATAAATATTTTAAGCAGCGCTCGGTTGCAAGTATCAATTATCAAATCCAGCACAATTGGCAACAGGCCAAGCGTATAATAATAATAATTTTGTTTAATTTCATTGCGTGCCCATAAAAATCAGGATGGGTACATGTTCACCTCCCTTACAGGAAAGTGCTTATTGTTCCTTTTTTTGTTGTTGTTCAAGCTTTTTCTGTTTTTCATTGCTCAACAAGACCAACAAATCACATTAGCATGTTTCCAAATCGGGCCATGATTCGTGGGAGATCGGGAAGGTGGTTTTCCTATCAGAGGCAGCACTACAGTTTCCTGGTTTGTAGCCAGGTGTTTTAACAAGCTAGACCAGGTTGTTGTTTTTCCTGGTTTGCATGCTAGCTGGGGAATTACGTCAGGAGTCTCCAACCTTGGCAACTTTAAGCCTGGAGGACTTCAATTCCCAGGATTCCCCAGCAAGTCTGGCGGACTTCAACTCCCAGAATTCCCCAGCCAGCTTTGCTGTCCAGATTCTCAGGGCTAAGCAATCTGGGGCTTGCAGAAAGACGCCTCGTATCAGCTCCGGTTTGGGGTAGCCCGAAACAAGGGGCCAAGCCGGGCAGGGAGGGGGCCCGTTTGCATGATCCGGCCGTTGCAAAACAAACCAAACAAACACACCGCCCTCCCTTCCTTCCTTCCTTCCTTCCTCACCTACTTGCGGGTCGGTGATCCAGCGCAGGGCAGGCCGGATTCCCCGGGGCAGAGGAGGGTCCGGCGACCCTTCCCCTTTCGCTCGGTTTCCCGGGGTGGGGTGGGGCGGGTGGGGGGGTCTCCTTCGGCCGCTTTCGTTTCTCCGCTCGCCTCTCCCGGGCTCCGTTCTCCTCCTCCCCGGCGCGTCAGAAGAAGGGGCGGTTTTGCGGCGCCGCGGTGCGAGCAGAGAACCGGGGCTGATGCGGGGAGAGGGGGGGAAGTGAAGGTGCAAAAACGGCTCCTGGATCGCGCGCACCGTCCGCTGGAGCGAGAGAAGAAGTGGGGAGGGGGACCCTCAGCCCGCGGGGAGGGGGGGAAGCAGGGCTGCCCAGGCGCGGCGTTGTTGACCGCGGACCTTCTTCTTCGCCGCCACCACCCCGCCCAAGACGGAGGCGAAGCGGCTCCTGGAGCCCTTTTGGAGGACAGGTGAGCGGCTCTTTCCCGCGCCAATCCGGGGATGTGGAGAAAGGGGGGGGGGGGGGAGGGGGGGGGGGGCCCCCGGAAAGGGGGGGGGGGGGGGAATCCAGGAAGGCAGCTCCGGTGGCCTAGAGGCGGAACTTCCTTCTCACAATCGGGAGGCTGTGAGTTCGATCCTAGGTAGAGGCTAATATTCGGAATAGACTCTCCTGCTCGAGTAGTGGGTTGGACTAGATGACCTCCAAGGTCCCCTCCAACTCTTGTTATTGTATGACCTCTTCCCTCCCCGCGAAACACACACAATGGGCAGGAAGAACCAAACTGTTTATTCCCCCCACCCCCAAAAAATATCTTTTTTCTCATGGTCGCCCGAAATATGGCAAGCCTCCCAAGGGGCGGTCAGGATGCGGTAGCTTTCGATTCCTCCCCGTCGTGGGCTGAACCGGGGAGGGAAGGAAGGAGTGGAGGGTGGTTGGGAGCACCGGGAGAACTTCTAAGCTGCGCCTCCTGGGGGGGTTCCCTCTGCCCCTCCCCAGTCTCCACCCCATTGCCCAGTGGCTTTTGATGGGGGTGAGTTGCCCGGTCTTGTCTCCAACTTGAAAGCCAGCGGGGAACAGGCAGAAATCCTTAAAAAAATAGGGATTTTCCTCTGTTTGTCAAGCATGACGCGTGTGGTCCCGGAAGGCCTGCGCAGGGCGATGTTAGTCGTGGGAAAGCAGAGATGTGGCTGGAGCATGATTGTGTCTTGGCAATTTTGATGATGGGTGGACTTCAACTCCCATAATTCCCCAGCCAGAATTCTGGGAGTTGGAAGTCCACAAGTCTTAAAACAGCCGAAGTTGAGAAACACCTGTGATACATGGCTGCGTGTGGTTGTGTGAAGCCTGGATTCCCACCAGGTGGTTCCTGCCTGGGCCGCACTCACCTCCTCTCTTCCCTTCCTGCAGCTCAGCCATGGCCAGCTTTCCCTATTTCAGCGAAGCAGAGCTGAAGAGCCGCAAGGTTCAATATCTGGCCCAGAACTCCGTCGCAGCTGCCTCTCAAATCCAGGAACTGCTGGATTTCTTGAACTCCTTCAAGGTCCAGGTTGGGATCCTGGGAGAGCACCGCGCAGGGGTGACCATGCTGGTTGAGGCTCTCCTGAGCAAGCCCAGCCCAGTGACCAACCTTTTTGCTTACTTCCGGGAAGCTCAACAGCCCACGCTCTCTGCAGAGGTCCACGTCCATCCCACCTTCCCTCACCTCGTCTTGCACGATCTACCTGGCTTTGAGGCCACCGAGAAACCAGCTGCCTATCTCAAGAAGCTGGGGGACCTAGAGCAATTTAGCTGCTTTGTGATGGTGGTGGGAACCAGGGGCTTCACAGACGTCCATCTGCAAGTCCTTAAGGCAATCAAGCAAAGGAAGAAAGTTTTCTTCGTGGTTCGCACCAAGATCGACCTGGATTTGCACACAGCTAGAAGGCGCCTTCGATACAGACACAATCCTGCAGAGCAGATGAACCAGATCCGGAAGGAGTTGTCCGAGACATTGACCAAGGACGGATTGGAGGCCAAGAAGCTCTTTCTAGTGTCTGGGCTGCAGAAGGAGAGATATGATTTTGCTTGGTTCGAGGATAGCTTGGAAGGAGAAGTGCTCAACTTGAAAAGGTCAAATAAAGGGGTCGGGGAGTGTGGCTCTGGAGGTTGTAGAGGAGGCTGGGGAAGGGCAGAGGCCGGCTGGGCAGTCAGAGGAGGACCCAGGCCCATATCCCCTCTCCATCCTAGGGCACTCAGGAGAGGATAAGGGAAAGACGTGGTCTACTTGGGAGGAGAGGGCCTTGATCCTCCAACTGTGACAACCGATTAAAAAATGTATAAAAATAATGTTAACATTAAAAATTAAATTAGGGTTTAAAAAAATTAAAGAATGACAAACATCAAAAGCGGAGAAAAGTCCTGTGATAGCATGGACATTATTATTGGACATGCCCAGTGTAGTCTCCAAGAAAGACAGTGTTGAGTCCTTAATGTATCCTGGCCGTCTTCTCACTGTCCTTTTTAAGTGCAACTGAGACAATGTATTGTGTTTACAGTATATTTCTGCTCTTGGTTCTTTGTAGGCACCAAGAGGGAACTCTGAAGGACTTCCATGCGGTGAGTCAAAAGATGGTCAAGGAGCTATTTGACGTTTGCAAGTTCAACAGCTTGGCTGAAGTCCCAACAGTAATCCAGAGTATGCTGACCAATCCCGCTCAAATCCACCTGAATGTAGCTCTGATTGGGGAAACAGGCTCAGGAAACTCCTCTCTGATCAATGCGCTGAGAAGAGTAGGCCCTGAAGAGCCAGGGGCAGCCCCCACTGGAGTAGCGGAAACAACCAGGAGAGCCACAGCCTACCCGTTCCCATCCGTCCCTAACATGTTCCTGTGGGATTTACCGGGAGTGGGAACGAGGGAGGACGATGTGAAGCGCCTGGATCTCAGCCGCTACAGCATCTTTCTCTTGGTGGCCTCGGAGCGCTACAAGCACATCCACAGCTGTCTGGCCAAAATTATTGCTTCGGAAGGGAAACAGTCTTTCTTTGTGAGGAACAAGATAGACGTAGACATGGAAGCCCAAGGTGGAAACCAACCCGAGTTGAAGGAGAAACTTCAGGAACAGATCCGGAAGAGATGTGTGGAAGCTCTGAAGAACGATGGCGTTGACTGTCCAGTCTTCTTGGTCTCCTCCTTCATCCCTGAAGCCTACGACCTCCCTCTCCTTCGGGAAGAACTCCAGAAACAGGCTTCTGAGTGGAAGAGGAAGGCATTGAGGAGAGTGATCCCGACCGTCTCCTCCCAGCTGGTCAGGCTCAAGAGCAAAGTGCTGATGAAGGACGTGTGGGGGAAGACCTTGCAAGTTGGCCTCTCCTCTGTGGACGATCTCAAGGAGACTGTGGTCGAAACGCTCCTGGCCATCATCACCAGCTTCTGCATCCACCTTGGTCTGAATGAAACGTCTGTCGTGAACACAGCCCAGTGTACTGGCAAAGCAGCCCATCTGCTTCAGGAACAGATCCAAAGCCGCTTTGCCCGGCCAATGCACTCCACCGAGGTGCTCAACCTCATAGTTAAGTCTCCCTCATGGAACAGCTGGGCGTGGAGCTATGTGCCGTACTGGGGCCAAAGAAGCAATGTGGAGGCCACCATCTCAGTGGAGAAAGTTTACAACCTGCTAAAAGAAGCTGTAGTGGAACTGTCCGAAGACGCAGAGAGGCTGCTACTGGCAGCCTTCTCAGAGGATTAGAGGAGGAAGAGGGATAGATTGATTTTGGGATGTGGGGAGAGGAAGGGCCAACCACCTTTGTCGCTGTTTAAAAACAGCGGAGAGAAAAGTAACGGGAGAAAAGTCCCTGCGATAGGACACACTGAGGCAAGAGCAAAGATTGCTTGGCATAGTGTCCGGTGGTGGTGTCAATGATGGTGTTTTTCGGAAGGGCCCAGCAAGATTTGGCTGTAGAAACTTAAGAAATGGAAAGCCAGTGCTAAGCCTTTACCCCTTTTCAGTGCTCATACACACTTACATTGTAGTGTCTCTCAGCCTTTGCAAGTTTTTAAGATGTGTGGACTTCAACTCCCAGAATTCTCCAGCCAGGAGTTCTGGGAGTTGGAAGTCCACACAGCTTGAAAGTTGGCAAGGTTGAGAAATACTGGTGAGTTGTCCTTTATAAAAAGCAGTTCCTATTATTACAGAAAAATCAGTGTTCTTTATATGAAGCAGTTCCTATTATTACAGAGAAATCAAATGCTTGCTTACTTGCTGGGATCCTGTCTTAAAGTATTGGTCTGATATAGTGGGAAGGTAGTTTATTTTTCTGAAAGAGCAAACACATCTCATCCTAGGACAGGCTTCATACAGCTTGGCCTGTTCAGGAAAGTTTTTGAATTCCCCAGATGTACACATGCTTAAAAAGAGAGCTGTGTTCTGTCCAGGAGAATTCTAATTCTGTAGATTGAAATAGTTGTTTAAATTTGTTTGTTCTGGAAGTAGGTGATGTTACAGAGTTATTAAAAACACTGGTCAGGGGTATAATGTCTGCACAATGCAAACTGCAATGAAAAGTTCTACACGTTGTACATCTAGCCATGCCACAAGTTAACTGAAAACGGTTGCCTGTTTGTAATTTGCTGCATGACAAATTAAAATAGTTGTTCTTTGTTGAAAAATCTTGTTTTGATCATCGTTCTTGTTTATAGTATGCAACTCACTGGGTTTCTAAAATCTCCACCCTCAGTCTGGCCTTGCCTAATTGTTTTTTTTTTAATTGTTTATTTTAATTTGATTTGCCAAACAGCACGGGATCAAAAGTCCAAATTCTTCTTACAAAATATTTGTCCAACATGCCTGCAGCAAATTGTATTCAGAGTGATGCAAAAGCATTGTGGTTTCTGTGGCTACCGGATGCTGGGGGAAGACTCTCATTTGGATGACAAAATTGTCTATTTGGTAATTGACAACTACATCCAGCACTTGGGGCAGAAATTAATATACTGTAGCAACTTATCCCATTTTCCTCCTCTCTTAGATGGGAAGTCAAGACTACTACTAGAAAAGATGAATAAATACAGGTAGACCTCAACTTACAATCGCTCACATAGTTACTGTTTGAAGTTATGACAGGGCTAGAAAAAACGACTTTCAACCAGTGCTTGCAATGTCCACATGGTCACAATCTGGGGGCCTGGCAACCAGCTTACATTTGCAACAATTGTGATACCCAAAGTCTCATGATTGCCATTTGCAACCTTCCCAGCCAGCTTCCATCAAGGAGTTATTTTTTTGTTTGTTTTATTTTCTTCCTTTTATATTCCATTATACAATAAAATATTGTTCTTGCCGTAGAGTTGGGGATCTTCCAACTTGCAAGTTTAAGACTTGTGGACTTCAACTCCTAGAATTCCTGAGCTAACATGGCTGGAGGAGGAATTCTGGGAGTTGAAGTCCACAAGTCTTAAAGGGGGAGTGCATAAGCGCACCAACGTGCCTACCATCCCTGTCCTATTGTTTCTTTTTATTTTTCTTATATGTATCCATTTCATGTATTCATAACTATGTTTATACTTATACCTGTTATCTTATAATCGCTTGACAAAAAATAAATAAAATAAAGCTGTCCAGTTTGAAGACCCCTGCCCGTAGAGCGAGCCGTTCCGAACGCCTGCACGAAATCCATACTCTATTTCCGCCGTGTGCCTAGAGATGCTGCCCGCTGTTTTCAACACAGGCAAGTGAAAGATTTAAGGGAAATGCGGAGGCTTCCGGCGCCCAATCTCTGAGCCAGGTCTCATAAATCCTTCTAACTTGTTTCAGGCAATATCATAGACAGGGGGGCGGGGGGGGGGAAGAAGAATTGAGAAATGGCGCACGCGCATCGCAGAAAGCTGAAAAGCGGCTGGCCTTCAGATTTCCACCGGTTAGTTGTATCTGCGCATGCTCCTAGCAATGCGAGATTCCGAGTCACCATGAACGTGGAACGAGGGGCGCAGGCGCCGTCTGCTCTAGCTCTCTGTTCAGTTTTCCATCAATTCTCCTGCGTTTTTAATTGCACGTCATGTCACGTGTTGGTAAAAATATATTCTCCAGCGGAAATTATGTCATTTTATCTGCAAAGACAATTTTCTTGTACAGCCATGAATAAGAATAGTAACAGTAATTTTGCAGTTGTCTATCTTCTGAGTCTGGTCGCATATTAGGAAGATATTTTTTCTAGACACAATATCTCATGATGAAGGAATTGCAAAGTTTTTTAAAAAGAACTGAAGCAGTAGAGGCCTAGTTAATTTATAAACATGGGACTGGCATCAAAATGTCGCACAGGTTATTCATGGTGCATTTCAACTGAATTTTCCTCCAGGAAGGGTGAGGGATTACAGTTCGTTGCTTTTTGAAACAGGCACGGCACAACTTTCTCTCTGAACAGCTAATGCTTCTGGATAACCTTACTTTTATGGATTGTGTCGCATTAACTGCAATGGAGTTTTCCGGAGACAAAAAATACAAAACTGCTCACATAGTTGTATGTACATATTTATGCAAAGTTATGGAAGATTTGGTAGATACAGATCTACAGAAACTAGATTAAGGGACTGGCTTTGGCACACCTGGACAAAATACCATGCCATGGTAACACTGTAAACCGCTCAGCACTTTCTGAGCGGTTTACAGCGTTAACATATTGCCCCCAACAATCTGGGTCATCTCAACCTCATTGTATCACCTATTTTGTGATTATTAAGCAACTGCTATGACTTAAAAGTGACCACTGCAGTCATAAAAGCAAATCAATGGTTCTCTATGGGCCGGCAAATGTGTGACCTCATTTGTGGTCATGTGCGACCTCACGCTACAGCCATAAATTGAGGACAATTAGTGGGCCTGAAATATGGTCATATGACCTGAGGGGGGCAGGCTGATCAATAGCACTTTGGAATAGGGTCGTAAGTATCTCTGGACGGGTCTATGGTAACTTCAACTGGTTGCTACGCCACTGTTGAGAACTACCTATAATATCCCTGGCAAACCACCACAAGGCCTGCTGCTTTGGTGATAGCAGAATGAATGCTTGCTATCCTCTTATAAGGACATAAAAGAGATCTTGGTTTGTAAAGAATGACCGTGCACTCAATGGTTGAGTGCAAGAGACAAACTCAAGAGATCAGGCAGCTTCATTTGTAGAGACAGCGAAGTTGCTTCCGATTCTTCCTCCTGCATGGCTGAAATACCTGCAACAATTAAAACCCACTATAAGTTCTGCTAAAATTAACCATTATCTACCATAGTCTAAGTCAGAGGTGGGGAACAATGGTCCCTTTATGACTTGTGGACTTCAACTCCCAGAATTATATCCACAAGTCACAACAGGGCCATCATTCCCTAGTCTAAATCATGGAAGTTTATTTATATTAATGAATCACGAAGCTATTTTTGATCATTAAGCCTCAAAGGCAGATCAAGATGATCACATACAAGTTTCTCAATGCTGCTGACCGGTCCCAAATAATGGCTATTCTATGTATATGACCCTAGATATTTGCTATTCACAAGTACAGCTTTCTCTGCTCCCACTCCAGAAGCAGAAACTCTTCAACTGATTGTGTGGTCTTTAAACTTCTAGGATGCGGGACTACATTTTCATAATCACACTTCAACTCATCCAGAGAGTGCTAGATAACTACTGGTATCGATGATTTCCCAAGTAGATGGATCCCTCGCAACCCATTCATAAGAATGAATGCTTGCTATCCTCTCATAAGGACATAAAAGAGATCTTGGTTTGTAAAGAATGACCGTGCACCATTAAACTCAAGAGACCAGGCAGCTTCATTTGCAGAGACAGCGCCTTTCAAACTGGAACTGGCTTCCTTGTAAGAGAGGCCCCGCCCAAGAGCTGCACCAAATCAGCACCCCCTCAGTTTCCCCCACCCCCACCATTTGCCAACACAGAGATGGGTACAATAAAAAGTCATACATACAGAATCGTTTTTATTAAACCGTTATCTCCAGCTCCTCCTGTGAAGGGACATGGTTAGAATTCATGAGTTTAGGCGGATCAGGGGCCATTCCCCGGAGCTGTTTCCCTAGAAGCCAAACACACACACACACACGCACACACGTAACGGAATACAGCTTCTGTACTTCGGCATGGGCCACCCAGATGCCAACATGACAACCGTGGAAATGGGAGCCTGACTGAGAAGGGACCGTCTGGGGAAGCAGGATCTCGAGGACAAGCGATTCCAATTCGCCTCTTACTATCTCCTGCCCCCGTCTCCCCACCCACCCCCCTTTGGGAAGGGCCTGGAAGAAGATAATTCTCATCCCGTTAATGAAACGGACTTCCTGCTAGTGCTACGGTTACAAAAGTCCATGAACAGGATCTCCTTTGGGGGGGGGGGAGGTTAGAATATTTTAGGGGCCGTCAGATCCAGATCACTGAAGGGCAAGGAAAAAGGGGAAACTTCACTTCCTGCCAATGAGCTGAGGTTTGTGGTTGTGGTTGAGGCAGGATACAAAAGTGACGTGCCGCCTCTCGGTCTCTCTCCTCGTTCCAAAGCTAAATTCATTTCAGAAATACGGAAATGTACCTTTTTTTTTTTTTTAAAAAAACAAAAAAAAAGAGGGGGTTTTTTTTTTTTTCCTCCACTTGTTGAGTATCCTAGCAGGACAGAGATCCCGTAGCAGGGGCCACCTATCACAACAGGGAAATATTTGGAAGCGGGCTGGGGGGGGAAGGGGGGAAAGGGGGAGGGCTGAAGACGGATCTACAGCTCTCCGCGAGCATGGAGCATATAGTGCTCGTGAAGTTCGGATACCAAGCCAAATTCGCCTGGGCACTCGGTGCAGTGGTACGGTCCGTCAGCCCCATCTGTGTCCTGGTCCCCGTTAGCCTCCCTGGGAGCAAGAGAGGGAGCGACCTTGTTACGAGGAGGGGCCGGGGGGCTTCTGCGCCAGCTGTGTTCGCAGCGATGGCCCTCCAGCGTGGCGGGAGAGGTGAAGCCCACGCCACACTCGGCACAGATGTAGTGAAAGGCTCTGCCCCGGCCGGAAGTCGGGCCCGTCCGCCCTTCCTGGCTGTCGGGGTTTCCCAGCAAGGTCAGCGGAGGGGAAGGCTTGGCTGAAGAGGAACCACTGTGCGGCCTTTTGCGCCCCACGTGGTAGCTACGGTGCACCTTCAGGGCCCGAGAGGTGCCGAAGCCACGGCCACATTCGGGGCATTCATGCCATTCGGGGCTAGGAGCCTGGGAAGAGCTGAGGCGATCCTGCCCCCCCTCTCCAACATCATCCACCTGTTCCCCAGCAGTGGCCAGTTTGGGTTCTTTGCTCTGCGGACCTAGGAAGATGAAGAGAGAGAGAGAGAATACAGTGAAATATGCAAGTACTAGCTGGATACACCCGTGCTTCACTACGAAACTATATAAACTTAAAAGCTTGAAAATGAATGAGTAGTTACAATCAGCCTTGATAGGGCCAGGGGGTATTTCTTGGTGTAGGCACCGTCCACCATGCAGGGGGAGTTCCTGTTGAGGGGTCCAAATGGGCCATGGAGCATTGTAGTCTTGATCAGGGGGTCTTCAACCGTGGCAACTTTAAGACTTGTGGGTTTCAACTCCCAGAATTCTAGGAGTTGAAGTCCACAAGTCTTAAAGTTGCCAAGGTTGGAGAGCCCTGGTCTTGATGCCTTGGAGGGCTAGATCTAGGTTGGGGTCAGGTACCACAGCACTTATAACTCTGTCAACAGGCTCTAATCCTATCTTCTAGCCACAGGAGACTATGAACGTGGGAGAGTCCACATTTCTGCCAATTCCATGGAGTACATGTGACACCTGGTATTTCCAAAGAGACAACCTTTAGCGAGGAGCTTCCCGTGAAAAACCCCTGCTACTAGGACATGTCTTATCGTGAGGTTTTTTGTCCTTGTTCCAAGAGCTGTACGAATTTCTGGCCATTTCGGATTGCAGGTAAGTGTAATGAACAGATCCAGTCGTCCGAAATGGCGCTCATACATCATCGCATCTTGAATTCGCTCACACTTGGAGCAGGGTCCTCCTCCATTGAAAGAAGAGGACGACACAATCATCTTGCCAAGCTGTGATAACTGGCTGTCAGGTCTTGTCATTGCCGTCCTTCAGGTGCACATACTCCTCACTTCTCAGCCTTTTTGGGGGGTTGTTATGAATCCAATGAAGTCTTTCCCCCTCAATTTTCGCATACACGTCAACCAGAAATTGATTGAGAAGGTTGCAGAACAGCAGGAGGTAGCATTATTCACCATCACGCTCGGTTATCCTGCAGCTGTAGAAGTCAGCAGCAGACATGGTCTTCTTAAGAGGACCCTGAGTCTTTGCGTCGCACTGAGGTATATTGATGTAATAGCCGTCTTCTCCATGACACAACATCAGAGGGTACTGGAGAGCGTCATAGTTGTTGTCTCTGCTGTGGAGAATGATCTCTCTCTTCTCACAATCCTGCCGACAATGAGAACAGCCACTTCTGTAGTCGTGGGGGCATTTAAACAACCTTGTGCTCTCCAGAAGGCTTCCTATCGGCGTTAATCACCACCTGGAAGTCCTTGGGGCCCTTAGGAACAGAATCAACAGCAGCCTTAAGATCCAGAATATTCTCGTTGTGTTCACGCAGCAACTTCTGCAGTTGGCTAATCGGTTCTGGATTAACACCTGGGTAGATTCCACAGCGGACGTCCCCCTCATTGTCATCATCACCAACGAAGTATATCTGGAGAAATGAAGGGTGCTGCTGAGGCCCCACCATAATACTCCCCATCCTGTGGTATACCTGGCCCTGCACTTTGAATATTGGCATAAAAATTTCCCTCCTTCACTTCTCTGGCTCCAAAAGATTTCATTGGAAAGCATCCGTTGTACTTCCGGGCAGCAGAAAGAAAGTGCTCTGTCATTGAATGCTGGTGGGTGAGAAGGCTGTGTAAAGGTTCATGGTAAGGCTCAAGGGGAGAGAGGTGGACTTTATCATCATCACTGCAGCACATCCTGGGAGTTTCATCCTGCCACTTCAGGGCACGGCACCAGGCACAGGGTAACCGAGGTCCAAGATTAACAACCTTTTCCCTGGAGTAATCAGTCTGAGGTTCATATTTAAAACCAGACAAATACTTATTAGTCCAAGGCATTGATCGGATTTGTGATTTCTTTTTATTGTATTTAGCTGTAGCTGCTTGAGTAACACTGACTTCAAGATGACGTTGACGATACTTTTTTGCAGCTTCCCTTACTTGTGTTTTCCTAATCGCGTCTGTAAATCTTTTCCTGCGTTTCTTCCCTCTTTTCCCTTTAACTGGTGTTACAGTAGAAGGAACAGATTCGTCTGACCTGAGGTGGTCAGTGTAAGAAGTGAGTTGGGCCTGGGACACTATGCAGGAGAAATCTGGTTCACAATCCGTTGGCTCAGTGGTGGTCGGTGACTGAAACTCATAAGGGAATATCTCTCCCGCCGCCTTGAGTCCGGAAGCAGTTCCATAGGTGGAAGGCATAGACATTTTTGGTGAGGTATCGACGTTTAGGACTGTAAGGAGCCCCAGGCCGCTCCTGAGTGAAGGAGTGGAACGTCTGCCAGTTTGAACTGAGGTAACGGAATGTGAGGCAACTGGCAGTTGGAACAGAGTTCTTTTCAAGTGGGGAGGGGGAGTAGAACTCCTTAGCATCAGAGCGTGTTAATTGCTGTATTAAGAAATAGTAATGATCTGATGGTCATTTCGAAAAATCCTTTCTTATCGAGCACCTAGAAGGCAAGAGGAACATACGTGCCAAATTTCAAGTTTGTAGGCTTTATGGTTCTGGAGATTTCGTGATGAGTACTTGGCTTTTATATATATAAAGAAGAAGATAAAGCATCCTTGGCTTATCTCCACTCTACAACTCACAGCTCTAACACAGGGAAGGGGATGTTTTTCTCATTTGTCTATGGCAGGGGTGTCAAAATAGCAGCCCACAGGCCAGATGCATCACACGCAAGCCATGCCCACCCCAGCTCCACAATGTGTCACATGATGGCAACGTGTAGCCTGTGTTTGACACTCGTGGTCTATGGAGATTCTCAATCATCCACGTCATGGTTGTGCCAAACGTGCTTTTCCAAAAGACAACTGGACTTTCTTTTTTTTTGTCCCTAAAACCATTGTTTCTCATCTAAGAAGCTTCTTTAGCTTTTGGAAAAGCACCTCTGGGACTTTCCTCCTTTGGCAGCCCCATGGATAATTTGTTAAATCAAGGGATCAAGTTTTATGTATTTTGTGGAATCATAAAGGAGAGCAACCTGCAGGAAAATACCTTGAATTAAGAAGATACAAGAACTACAGCTATTCAGTGGTGCTGGAAATAACACTCTTCATATCCCCAAAAGTAGTATTTTGATTGCCTTTTTTACAGATTACAGCCCCAAGCACAATACATTTTAATAGCTGTGCCCAGCATCAAACCTGAACATCTCTTCTACTGCTGCCCCAAAGTTTCTTGTTATGTAACACTCCTACCTATGATCTGACAGATCAGCTTACCTGGATAGCCATTGGCAGATGGGGTCGCAGGGCTACTGTCTCCAGAAGATACAGAGGTTGCTTCCGATTCTTCCTCCTCCTCCTGCATGGCTGAAATACCTGCATCAATTAAAACCCACTATGAGTTCTGCTAAAGTTAACCATTATCTACCATAGTCTAAGTCAGAGGTGGGGAACAATGGGCCCCTTATGACTTGTGGACTTCAACTCCCAGAATTATGTCCACAAGCCACAACAGGGCCATCATTCCCTAGTCTAAATCATGGAAGTTTATAATAAGTAATGAATCACGAAGCTATTTTTGATCATTAAGCCTCAAAGATCATATATAAGTCTCTCAATGCTGCAGACTGGTCCCAAATAATGGCTATTCTATGTATATGACCCTATAGATATTTGCTGTTCACAAGTGCAGCTTTCTCTGCCCCCACTCCAGAAGCAGAAACTCTTCAACTAATTGTGTGGAGGATTATTTAAATTTAAACTTCTAGGATGCTGGACCACATTTTCATAATCATACTTCCAACTTATCCAGAGAGTGCCAAATAACAACTACTGGAATCAATGATTTCCCAAGTAGATGGATCCCTCACAACCCATTCATAAGAACATGGAGGTCGTAGGAGCCCTTCCAAAACATGAGTAGTCCTCAACTTACAACAGCTTGTTTAGTGACCGTTCAAAGTTACAACGGCACTGAAAATAGTGACTTATGACCGTTGTTCACACTTACCACCATTGCAGCATCCCTATGGTCACACAATCAAAATTCAGACGCTCAGCAACTGACTCATATTTATGAGTTGCAGTGTCCCACGGTCACCTGATCCCCTTTTGCCACTTTCTGACAAGCCAAGTCAATGGGGAAGTCTGCTTCACTTAAGAACTGTTATGGATTTAAACACCTGTTGCAGTGATTCACATAACAATCATGGCTAGAAAAGTAGAACGGGACCAAAAATTCACTTATCTAATGTGTCTCGCTTAGCAACAAGAAAGTTTGGGCTCCCTTGGGGTGGTTAGGTCAAGAACTATCTGTAATGAGAGCAAAGGGCCGCTTGGAATTTCAGCATGTAATTGTTTTAAGCGCTGCTTTTGCTCCAAGTCTCCAGGGCTGTCACTTTGAACTACTCTCCTTGCACAATGCCACCCCCTGATGCTCTGGTGCAAGATGTGCAATTAACGGGAAAGTTAACGGTGTGTTAACCCTTGTTATCACTAAGGGTTGTACCTTATGATTCATGATGAATGTGTTTTTATGATGGCGATGATCATGATTTGTCACGTGTGGCTTTTATGTACAATGAGAGCTTATGCACTGAAGACAAATTCCTTGTGTGTCCAATCACACTTGGCCAATAAAGAATTCAATTCAATATTCTATTCTACTCTATATTCTATTCTATTCTTATTCTGTTCCTATTCCAATTCTATTCCAATGCCAATTCTATTCCAATTCTATTCTATTCCCATTCCCATCCTATTCCTATTCCTATTCCTATTCCTATCCTATCCTATCCTATCCTATTCTATCCCATTCTATTCCATTCCTATTCCATTCCATTCCATTCCATTCCATTCTATTCCCATTCCCATTCCCATTCCCTTCCTCTTCCTATCCTATCCTATCCTATCCTATCCTATCCTATCCTATCCTATTCCATTCCTATTCTTATTCTATTCCTATTCCAAAGAGCTTGCGGGGGTGGGGAAGAGAGGCGATTCCCACGTTGCAGAGATTTTGAGGAGGACCCCCTCGGCCTACCAGAAACGCACCCCCTCACACACACACACACACCCGTGTGCTTGACACGCTCCCCAGGGGGAGCCTCTCAGCCCCTTTTTCACGGGGCGAGCTCAGGGACCCCACGGCCCCAAGTTCCGCAGGCCGGGCAAGCAAGCCCGTCCCCCGCCTGGCCTGTGCGCTCACCAGTCGAGGTCCCATCCTCCTCCTCAAAGCCAATGTCCTCAGAGCTGCCCACTTCCACCGGCTTGGGTACTTCGGACATCACCACCCCTCAAAACAAGCCTGCGGCCCAACCTGCAAGAGGAGCAGAAGCAGGACACGAGAGAGAGAGAGATGGCGGGGAGCCCCCCATCCACCCCCTCCTCTTTTTCCGGGGTCCCATCCCATAATAGTCAGGCCTGCCCCCCCACCGCCCCCGCCAGGCCAAGCTAAGCGCTAAACCGGCCCCAGCCTTCGTTTCCCAGCATGCTCTGCGGCTAGCGGACCGCGGCGGAGTCCACAATCCCATCATGCACCGCGGCTGTGGAGGGGAAAAAAAAAAAAAAAAAAGAGGTCCCGCGAGCCAAAAGTAGAAGGGGGGAGGGAAGTTACCCCTTTCCCACAATGCCTTGCACAGTCTACCACTCACCGGTTCCTCCGGATGTGGGGAGGGGCAGCCCGGTCCCCTCCGGCCACAGGACCCCCCTAGCTGCGCAAGCGCAGAGAAAAAGAGAGGGGGGAATTAAAATATATATATATATAAATAAATAAATATATTATATATAGGCCGGACCCGCCCACCACCCCTTAGGCCTTGCGCGTGCGCTGTGAGGCTCGGGTGTGTCAATCCGGCACTGCGCATGAGCGGGCCGGGAGCCGCTTTCTCTTAAACGGGCGGTCGGGAATTTTGAGCCCCCCATTCTCCGCATGATGTGCCGTTCGAATCGTTCTGCGCATGCGCGCGGCAAGAGTCGTGTTGAGAGGAGTTTGTGAAGTATAGATAGACTTCGATTTACAACAGCTTGCTTAGTCAGCAAAGTTACAATGGCGCTGAAAAAAGCGACCTGGGGCCGGTTTTTTATGACCGTTTTAGCCTTTCCCGTGGTTACGTGATTTACATTCAGACGTTTGGCAACTGATTCACAGTTATAACTGTCGTAGCGTCCCAGGGTCGTGTATTCTGGTCAAGCAACCAAGTCCAGATTCGCTTAGCGACCATTGAACAACTTGCAGCGATTCGCTTTAACAAGTGTGGCACAAAAGGTCGTAAGACAGGGCAAAACTCCCTCAAGCCATTTCTCGCTTAGCAACATAAATTGTGGGCTCCATTGTAGTTGTAAATCCAGGACTACCTGCAGACTAGAGTGGAAGGGCAAGCGACAAAAAATCAGTTGGGATAAAATGCAGTTTTAAATACATGTGTCTAATTCGGGAATAAGTACAACGGAGTTTTGTGATTGCCACTAAGTTTTGGTGTCTCTCTCCCTCCCACCCCCATAATTGCAGAATAAAAAATATAAGCCAGGATCAAGAATCAAATCTTCCCCCAATCTGGTGCCCCAGGATGGGCACTGGTGTTATTATTCCCATTCTGGAAACTGCAGCCCAAACTGTCTTGATCCTTCCTGTTCGGGCTACAACTTGACCTGGTTGAGGATTCTGGGGAATGTAGTCCCAGGAAGCCTGACCGGGGGGGGGGGGGGGGGGAACTATGCACCTTTAAACACTGACTTCCACAATATGGTGGATTTCACCTCCCACAATCCCCGGGTGCTTATTTTTTTATGAGGCAACTGGACTTTCTTGTTTTTTTCTTTTGAAGACGTTTCACTTCTCATTCAAGAAGCTTCTTCAGCTCTGACAGGATAGTGGGGGAATGGAAGGATTTATATTTCTTGCAGACGGCTGGTCATTTGCATCCTTTTGGAGGGTTGTGGGAGCACTTGGAGGTTTATCTGTGTCCTCACCTAAATGATGCTCCTAGTTCCTGTAGTCTGCCATTTTTTTCCTCTGCAAATCCATTCTTCCTCCCACACCATCCAAAGGGTGTTCGTCCCAAATTGTATAGCTAAAAGTCTGCAGAGATTCTCAGCCATCCAGGTCATGATTGTCCCAAAGATGTTTTTTTTTTTTTTTTGCTTTCGAAGATCCCTAGACAGCTTTAAGTGGATTTGAAATTCTGGGAATTGTGATACTATAGCACTCCCGAAGAAGCAGAAGGCTGCTGGAACAGAATTGCTGCGTGGCCTCCTTTCCATCGGCTGGTGTGATTTCCTCCCCCCCAAGCATAAACCTCCCAAAAATGTCTTAAAGAGCAGCAATTCTGGATAACTTCCCTCTGGAGCTTTGCAATCAGGCAGCTGCATTCGTGAGACAGTCCTGCGGCACTGAAGACCTGGGGAAAAGTCTTCCACCAGAGTCGCTAGAGGGCGCTCGGACATCGAGATCAACGCAGGAGGAGGCAGCTGTCAGCAGAGGGCACCCTCGAGAGGAAAAAGAAGCCATCAGCGCTTAGGAGGCAGTGGACAGAAACAGAGCTAAGCTACAGTTAAATTCCCTGCTGCCTCGTTCTGTCACCTGGATTTTTGCAACCAGATGCAATCACTTAGCCTAGTTGTATTGGAAAGAGAGTGAATTGTCTTATGTCCTCTGATCTCCGTGGTTTGCTTGCAGAACTCCACTTATTTGCTTGCGGAGTTTTTATTACTCAACTGTTATTAACTATAATTATTAATCACATTATTTTATTAAATAAGAGGTTTTTAAGAAATAAAAATTGTTACTAGACTTTTATCCTGCCATTTTACATCTATTCTGGGCCAATTCAAGGAAGCCAACATACATCCTATTTTCCCCACTGCAGCAACTTTATGAGGCAGGATTGTTTTGATGCCATAGGCAGGACTGGAACTCACAATCTCCTGGTGATTGGCCCAGTAATACAATAGGCTTTTGTCCTAAGGCGAGATTAAAACTCACTGTCTCCTGGTGATTAGCCCAGTAATTCAGCTGGCTTTCCTGCCTAAGGCAGGACTAGAACTCACAGTCTCCTGGTGATTGGCCCAAAGTTACCCAGCCAGCTTTCATGCCTAAAATGGGACTTGAAGTCATAATCTCCCAATTTCTAAGCTGGTGCATTATTCATTAGACTCCCTCTTCACAAACATGCTCTAGTGGCTTGTTTAATAACACCTGAGGATGATAGGCTCCTTCCAGGGTATTCCTTTGAGCATCCTTCAGGCAGTCTGAGAATGACTTGGAAGGGGCTACCCACTGTGCATCTACAAGCCATTGGGAAAATAATCCCACCCTACTTAGGAATCTAACCTCAAAATTAGCGTGGCAAGCTTTCACTGATTAGCCGGTTAAAAACATCAAACAATTAACCTTTGAATTAATCAAAATGACATCCCTAATTAATGAGGTAGCATTTTTAATTTTGTAAGCTTTTAAGACAAGTCCTTCAAAGGACTGCCATCAAGAAACTCAGCCTTAAAATTGCTTCCTTCGTCTGCAAGTCTGTGCCATAGAAGCAGCTTGTTAAAATGCTCATAGCTCCTTCTCTACCCAGAGCGGATGTTTTATTTACAGATATGGGCAAATGTAAGAACGATGTTGGTGAATAAATAGGATAATTTATTTATTTTTTATTGGAGGGATCCTTGGTTCTCTCTGACCTTGATTGTTTTCTGGCAGACATCTGCAAGGAAACTACCAAGGACCCCTCTTTTCAACCCTGAGCTACAAATATTCTCCTTTATCGGTATTTTTTTCATTTGATTAATAGATTTTTATTCTACCTTTAATACTCAATATTAGAAGTATAATACTAGAAGTACTCAAGGTAGCAGGCATACATCCTCCTCCTATATTTCCAACAACAACAACCCTGTGAGGTGGGTTGGATTGAGTTAGTGTGATTGGCACCCAGTGGGCTTTCATGCCAAAGCTGGGACTAGAACTCACGGCCTCCTGGTGATTGGCCCGGCTAGATTATACCCAATTTCCTGGGAGCAAATTCCGCCGAGTCACGCGCCTGCCTAGAATTGCCCTGTAACTTGATTTTCCCTATCACAGAAAAGCTTCAGGGAAGGCAGGCGTGAGGGCTTCCAACTGCCTTTTTAAAAAGAACCCAGCAAGAAGAAGAAAATTTCAGAATAAATATGATGTCATGTTCCTCTAGCTAGAAGACAGCATGCAGCTCTGCTCATCAGTGCAATCAGGTTCATTTCGTTTTTTTCTCCCATGCAGAGAACCGGAATTTAATCCGCAGATACATGCCTTGTGCTAGGGTAGCCTTAACACCCACGTCTCATATTCCTACACAGAGTTCGCATGACCCTTTTGCTTAAAAAACCAGAAAGAATTCATGGGGCTGAAGAGGAAGGAAAGAACTCTCCTGTCAGAGCTGAAGGAGCTACTTGGATGAGAAGCGAAACCTCTTCAAAAGAGGACCAGAGGATGACTGAGAATCTCTACAGACTTTTAGCTACACAATTTGTGATGAACACCTTTGGAATGTTATGGGAGTAGGAATGGATTTACAGAGGGGAAAAATTTGAAGACTACGGGAACCAGGATAATCATTCAGGTGGCCCTGAGGACCCAGATAAACCTCCAAGTGGTCTCAACAACCCTCCAAAGGGATGCAAATGACCAGCTGTCTGCAAGGAATATCAGTCCTTCCATTCCCCAATATCTTGCCAGAGCTGAAGAAGCTTCTTGGATGAGAAGCAAAACGTCTTTAAAGCAAAAACAAGGAAGTCCAGCTGCCTCCTGAAAAAGCACATATTAGGGACAGGATGGAAAGAAAGGAGATTTTTGTAGGAGCTGTTGGGAAGAGGGAGAAATCTTGTAGAGGTAGCCCTCACCATACAACTGTTCATTTAGTGACCGTTCAAAGTTACAACGGCACCGAACAAAGGGACTTAGGACCGTTTTTCACATGTAGGACCGTTGCAGCCTCCCCATGGTCACATGATCAAAATTCGGCTGCTTGGCAACAGTGGCTCGTATATATGACGGTTGGAATGTCCAGGGATCTTCTGTGACCTTCTTACAAGCAAAGTGAATGGGGAGGCCAAAGTCACTTAACAACTGCGTTAATAACTTAACTGCTGCAGTGTTTCGCTTAATGACTGTGGCAAGAAAGGTCGTAAAACGGGACAAAATTCACTTAACAAATGTTTCGCTTAGCAATAGAATTGTGGTCAAACGTCTCCTCTTCTTTCTTTCTTTTTATTTGTCCTGAAAAGCCAAAGAAAGTTAAAACCCCCAAATAGTTAGTAAAGGCACTTAAATACATCAGCTGGCAATTCTCAGCAGGATGGCATTCACCCACATGAAGTTAAGTAATGCCAGTTTAATCCGTTCAGCCACACAGCCAGGTAGAAGGGCTACAACTCCATGGTAAAGGAAGGTTTAGGCAGGGGTGAGCTGCTGGGGTTTGCAGGAGTTCGGGAGAGCCCCTAGCTAAGATTCTGAGCAGTTCGGAGAACCCCCAAATCCCACTCTTGGTTGGCCCTGCCCACCCCTCCCTGCCCCTCCCCGGGGTCCCCACGTGGCCCTTTATGGATGCAGGTAACTGCAGGGCCCACTCAGAG